ACTTTTTCCTTCCACTCAACTTTCTGTTAACATGCTTGGATACAGCACTCTGTGAACAGCCAGCTTCTTTGGCAATTAATGCTTGTGGCTTACCCTCCTTGTGAAGGGTGTCAATGATTGTCTTCTGGACCAGTGTTTCCCAACCGGGGTGACGCGGCACCCTGGGGTGCCGTCTGTGGAGAGCAGGGGTGCCGTGTAAAAAATAATTTTTTAATATTTTTAAATTGCTAAAATGTAAAAAAAAAAAAGCATCTATCATATAATATCCATTTCTGATGTCGCCAATAATTAGAGATGTACCGAAATTTCGGCTGCCGAAAATTTGTTCACTGCTCCGGTTTCACTTTCACGTGGTGTGACGCTCTGCGTATTATCCCGCTCTATGTGTGTGCGCTCCGCTCAGTCGCTCCACTCGTATACAGTTCATGCTCATCGGAACAGCACAGTCCACTCAAAAATTGAGCCGACAGGAAACATCGATGTAGTACAGTATTGTTTCTGTCTGCAATAGCCCTACTGTGCTGTAACATGCAGACAGGTTTACATTTGTGAAAAGTGGGGACATCCCATAGGCGTAATGGTTTTTATACTGTACAGACCGTATATTCTATTGCCCTTTTGGGGGGGGGACAATCAATTTGATCACCAGGGGGCAGTGTACTGATGCAAGGCCACTAACATAATTCATATAATACAGATTAGGTCAGAATTAGCATTATTGCAATCTTAATCTACTTTTAGTAGCTATGCAGAATTAATCTGCCCTAACCACCATCTGTGAGGTTTTGTTTCTATCCCCCTCTAATCGTAACATGGAAATATGCTCAGACAGGATTTAACCAAGCAAGTGTACACATACTGTAAATTCCAACCTGTTTTCACTTGGGTCACTGAAAACCTTTACTCTTTCTCTTTGCAACTATTAATACCATTTAATGTTTGAATATCATTGACTTTTATTACACCAATGCAGCATTATGATAAAAAAAAATTTTCACAATTAAAAATATACAAGCTTAATAGACTTTTGTATTAATAGTTAAACATTTCACAATAAATCAATCTTACAAATATGCAACACTGCATTCAAAATAAAATAGCCCAACCTATTTACAGTCTAATCATAACTGGCAGCACTTTTGTCATACACTTTCAAAGTTGTACACGAGATGGTGAAATAATGTGCATTACAGCTATAACCATTATTCATGTTGTCAAAACAAACATTTCCAACCAGACAAACCAGAGTAGAATGAGAGAGAGAGATGCGAGGTGGCAAAATCAAAACCTATGAATAATTAATCTCATCTCATTCAATGGAGCTCGGAGTATGATCCTAGCCAAGCAAAACAAAGTGGCCATCTTCCGCATTTCACCAACCATCTGTTACTGTATACAGAAAATGTAAGTACTCTTTTATTTTTTAATTAGGGTTCCTATGGAATAAGTGAGTGGAGTGCGCCGGTTCTGTAATTAGTGCACAGGAGCAGGTCCAGATGTAATTATATTCGTGTCCCTGGAAGCATTCACACAGGAAAAATATAGGTCGCTTCAAGCCATCTTATTAGCTTGAGATAATTGATTTTAAATACTTTATAATTGGTGATTTAACAATATATACATACTACAAAATTGCTAAATTACATAAATATATCTATATCCACTATCTACACACACTACTAAAATACATATACAAAACAGTCTTTCACAAAGCATGAGAGCTGAATAAAAACAAAGCCAATATGGACACATGCTTTTATATTGTTATGTTTGTATATTCGAGGGAGGGGGAGGTGGTAGTTGCACCTGCACTAGACAATGTGACATATAACAGACGTGTAGTAGCATATGTCAGGTGAGTATACAGTAGTACACAGCATTACGTACATCAATAGGACATGGCATGGCAGGTTAGACTTCTGTAGTAAATCTAACCAGACCCAGAGCACCGTGTACTAGCACACTGTGAATTATGTGGCTCAGTACGGTAATGTTGCCAAAACCATGATAAAGGCTCGCCATGAGGTCACTTTCTATAATAGGTAAACAGGAGCGATCCATCAGCTCTCCAAATGTAGTAAGTTCCATCGATCAGAGCAAATCAAATACTTCATTTGCTGAATTTACTTGCTCTTTCTGTTCAGGAGGAACCTGGTTATTTAAAACAACTCAGAGGTTTCCCTATAAAGGAGAACTATGACAACAAAAATTAAACTTCTTGGCATGCATAACAAAATGCACAATATAATACAACAGACCACTAGAGAAGTGCTGAGTGTAAAAAGATGATTTTCTTTAGGTAACAACAACAAGCAACAAACTCAAAAAGGTATGATAAAGTCTTTCTAGAGTTCTATGTTGTATTGTTCTATAAACCAAAACTATAAATTCTAAACAAAAACTATATATTTAATACTATAATAAAATAATATACTATTAAATATACTAATAAAACAAATGTTAATAATATGAATAAAAAAAAATAAAATCATATACTATTAAAATACCATAATATATAATTAGTTTAATGAAATTTGAAATGCAACTAATATATATATATATATAGACACTATCTAAATGTGACTAAACATTACTAGTACTACCCATACTAAGTAACTAGATGATTTTTGGCATATCCACATTTATTGTAATAGTCTTGCCAAAGGAGGATGGGCTCCCCAGTCGAGTCTGGTTCTTCTCAAGGTTTTCCCCCATTCATCTAAACATCTTATAGAGTTTTCTGTTCCTTTGCCCCAGTGGGATGTTCACTAGATATTTTGTAGAGCCACTATGAACCGAGATCTATGGTGAAAAGAAATATTCCTTTCCTATAAAAAGGAAACGTACATGCCTGATAAATATGCACAAGCCTGTAAGTAAACTCCAGCATGAATGTAAGGAAAAGCAGGCCTGTGAAGATGATATTGGTGCTGTTTGGGAGTTTTTGAGCTTTTTCAAGACCAGAGCTGTATTACTGCATTCAGACAACAGTTTATCATGACATCGTCACAATAAATCAGCCCAAAACGATGCAGAAGTGCAGTCAGTTGCATATCTGCCCTAACGCAGTTTTTTTGCTCCAGAGCTCTGTTGCTGTTAGTAGGCCTTGCTCACACTGATGGAAAGACAATGCGGGCATTTTGACAAACGGTACGCTATGTACGCCTCCCTGCCTATAGCTCTGAAGACTCCATCAAACGATGTATACAATGTCCAAGCCCACAATGACCCGGCGCTTTAAATATCAGCCACAGAATAAGATCATATACAAGGCGTAAAGGTGTTGACAGGAGGCGCAGGAAAGCTGCTGCTGCTTCTCGCCTGTTAAGCTTTAGTTTGAGCCAGAGAGCAACGCTTGATTGCCGCAAACACCCAAATGCCAGTCTTGGCCTCGCATATTTTTCCCCCCAAAGCAGACATATAAAATGTACTAAATGTTACTGATAAGAAGCCCACTCCCCACCCCACCGGACAAGGCTCGGAAAATCCAATCGGTTTCGGATTCGTGACACCGGTGGAGTGGAGCGCTAACGCAAACGCATTGAAAAACACAGGCGTTTCGGCAAAGCAAACGGATGCTCGGTTACAAACCAGAAGGAAGACAGAAAATAAGAGCTTGTTGTATACTCACCTCTTCTACAGTGATTGTGGAGGTAATTTAAAGGGCCAGGTTCGCGCAGATTGTTACCCCCCCTACCAAACAAACACCACCCCCTCCGTGCACCAGTGTCCACCCAGTCAGTCCCCCCACCACTGGTGACAGCGTTCTCGCACACAAACTTGCTTTTCTCTCCTGGGAAAAAGCTGAGTCGGTTCTGAGTCAAATAAGGCGGCTCTTCGTTAAAATCGAAAACCAATCAGTTTCGCCAGCTCTGCCCTCTCCACCCTCCTTCATCGGGTGCCAACGGGTTTGGTTGCGTCTGTCGGCGAGCCGTTTCGCTGCTCGATGGGATTTTTGGGGTTTTGAGCTGTCGAGCGGTCTAAGAAGCACACTTTACGCAGCGGTTCATCGACCCAGTCTTCATAAGCAACACATTTGAGCGCCCCGAACCCGAGCCCATCTTGCACCGCAGTGTGCAGTAACGGCTGCTGACCCAAGAGGGCGCTGGTGCACAATGTCGTCCACACAACAGTGCAATGGAAGAAGGGCGACAACAGAAGAACAAAATATTCTTATTTTAACAATTTTTTTATTTTGCATTTTAAAACAGAAAACAATTTTGTATGTTCTGCTTGCTGACAGCAGTATTTAGAGACTATTTCCAGTTTAAACGTTGTTTAATCTTTCATTTGATGATAGGCCTATTTGATTTATTTTGACTAGTTATATATCTCCTTTTTACATTTTTCTTTACTTTCTTTACTTTCCAAGTGCTATTGATCACATGTATTCCTTTGAACTAACTGATATCTGTTTTTACTAGTATTTTTTATTATCAGATACTAGTAAGTAATCCAATCCTTTTTCAGTTTCACTAGTAGGCCTATGTCTGACAATTGATTAGATACTAGTAGTAGGCCTACCTAATACTAGTAGTAGCATAGGAATACTAGGAGACAACAACATTTTATTCCAGCACTGTAGCATCTATTCAGTTAGCCCCCTTTTAAGCTCTTTGAATAGCTGTTAGCTAAGCCAGTATTTATTAATTAGACACTAGTACTAGGCTACTAGTTTCTTTAGTGACTAGTCATTATGAAGAAGAGGTATTTCCAGTTCTGCTTGTAACTGTTCTGTAGATATTATTTTTTTCTAGTTATCTTAAGCTTATCTATTCCAGCTTTACAAGTACTTTTTATTGGATTCTAGTGTCCCAGTTGTTGTTGAAATAAGTAGGCCTACTAGTAATTTATAAACGATCATTTTAGTTACTGGTAAAGATTACTGAAGATTATACTATTGGATTACTTACTAGAAATTATTAATTAAGTGCTAGTAACAACATAAAAAAAGATCATTATAAATTAAAATGTAATATATAGATAAAAGCACTGATTTAAAAGATATCACTTGGTGGCATTGTAAATACTTAAAGAGTTTACCCAAAAATGGAAATTCTGTCATCTTTTACTCAACTTCATGTCCTTCCAAACCTGTATGACATTCTTCTGCAGAATATAAAAAAATATATTTTTGAAATATGTTGGTAACCACACAGTTCTAGTTACCACTGACTTCCATTCCAAGATTTCTCAAAAACATTTCTTTGTTTTTTGTTTGTTTGTTTCACAGAAGAAAGTCGTACATGTTTATAACAACATTAAACTGAATAAATAAAGACAAAATGTTCATTTTGAGTGGACTATCTTTTTTAATTTCTCCTCTCAGTGTAGTTACACTGTGCTATTCTATTATTGTTGCATACACAACTGCAAATACAGGCTTCAGTGGGATGTGTTCTGCTTCTTTTGAGTAAGCCCTAGGTATGTGTTAGATGCTGTAGGTGGATCTGTACCTGCAGGCAAATTTGACACTTGGCACCAGATCAGCGTGAGCCAGCCTTAATCATAAAGCCCTCCGGTTCTCATCTGAAATAGGCCTTTCAAAGCTTTGAAAATGCAGGACAGTTTAAGAGTAGACTGTACCCCGTGGCAGTTAAAAAGACAGTTATAATTTAGTGAGGCAGCTAACAGTCTAGTGGACTGTTAATCTAACATAATACGTTTTTAAGCACAGTATATTGAAAGAGTATCCAGTGAGATCCAAACAGATGAACAGAAAGTAGGTATGAGTTTGTACCTGTTTTCTAAGCTATCTGAAATGTAAAACTAAAAAGAATTTTGGCCTTTTTAATTATGAAATACATAAAAACTGACCCATGAATTTTGTGCTTGTAAATGTTAAAGATGTTTACCTTTATTCTTTTGCTTTGAGACACTCTACTCTTTTATTTAAGGACTATGCAGACGATTTGTCTCTTCTTTCTGCCTCACTTCACAGCCTCCCTTAGAAGCCCCAGGATTCTCATTGTGCCTTTAGATTCGCAAAGGTCCCAAATGATTTGTGCTAACATTTGACTTGGCACAGCACAGTTGCCGTATTTTTACAGTGTGATGTATTTATAGTAAATGGGGATGGAAAATACTTTTACTGCATTAGCGTTATGTCCTCTGGAACCTGAAATTTTGCTGATGGCAGAGTATTTTCTGTATCATTTTCTCATGCTTTGAAGTCACAGTTCTCTCTGCTCTCTCTCAGATAGCAGCGGTCCATCTAACAGTCCGCATGGAAACTGCAATACTGCTGAGAAAGGAAGGAGGAGGTGGGGGGCAAAGAGAGAAAGAGAGAGAGAGAAAAGAGAATGAAGCAGTGGCTCACAGTCACAGGAGAATTGATTCATGCAGGTACCCCAGCAGCCATATTTTGCTCTATGCTGCTGGTTTGATTCCCAAAACATTATAGTGAAGCTCCTGATCCAGCCTGTCATGTTTCAGCTCCCTCCTTGCCTAAATGAGATACAAAGGCATTAGATAATTCAAATCTTTAGAACAGGATAGAAATGAACAATTCAGAGTATACAAGTCTGGGTTAAAAGTGTTTGTACCCATACAATACAAGACTGTAAATTTGTTTCTTAAGTTTTTCCCCTTCATAGTCTACATTGTTAATATATAAAGATATATATAAAAATATATAGAATATATAAAAAACATTCTATATTATTATATGCATTGTATGTGTATGTGATAAACTGTGCCAAGTTTATCTTCTCTGTCTACATGGCATCACTAGGTTCTGTCATTCAGAAACATGGCTTTTCATATCACTGCTATGCTGATGACACTCAACTCTACCTCTCATTCCATCCTGATGATCCGACGATAGCTGCTCGCATCTCAGCATGTCTAACAGACATTTCTTGTTGGATGACGGACCATCACCTTCAACTCAACCTGGCTAAGACAGAACTCATTTGTAAGTCGCTTTGGATAAAAGCATCTGCTAAATGACTAAATGTAAGTGTAAATTTATAATATTTCTCATCATTATGTATTTCTTTTATATATCATTGTTAGCATTGGACATTTGGAATTAATATAAATATAATTAATATTATAAATATATAATGAATATAAATAAATAAATATAATTAAAATATATATAAAAATCATATTAAATATAATTTAAATATTTTAATATACCGGTATATATATATATATATGTGTGTGTGTGTGTGTGTGTGTTATTATTGTTATTTATTTTATGCATTGTATTTCTCATATAATCATTATGTATTTCTCTTATATATCATTGTAAGCACTGGACATTTGGAATTAATATAAATATATATAAAAAATATATTACAAAATAGAATTAAACATTTAAATCATTATATATGTGTGTGTGTGTTTGTGTTATTAACACACTAATAACACATTAATAACACATATTGTGTTATATGTGTGTGTGTGTCATTATTATTTATTATATGTATTGTATTTCTCATATAATCATTATGTATTTCTATATATCATTGTAAGCACTGGACATCTATATAAAATTGTCAGTTGAACAAAAGAAAACCTTTCTCTACGTTTTTAGTTCCTTAAATTAGCCATCCTTTGCCTTAATAGCATAGTTTTCAAGCTCTTCTGCAGCACTTACTAGAAATGTAGTTCTCTTTCAGATAGCTTTACATTGACTATTCAGTCTGCTTTGTCCCATAAAACCCTGCGTGCAGCACAGTTGATGCTTTATTGAATGTGCTTTTATGCATTACTGCTTTGTAAATTACATAATTTGTGTATTGGAGCACACCTGGGTCAGCCAAAAATGTAGTGTTCCTCGTTATGTTGCCATGGAAACCAGGTTTAGCATATGGGGCTACAATCAGATGTTTTGAGGGGGAAAGACTTTTTGCTTTCATTTTTTTATTATGAAAATCAATTTGCAGATTTATTAGAGAATATTTTCAGGTATATCTATACATATATATTAGTACATATTTTCCTTCATTTGGGATGCGTGAGCACAGCATACCACGTCTTAGGAAGACTATTGCTAAAGGACATATCATACACAGTAGCTAATAGCTATAATAATAATAAAAAAAGAAAAAACTTTTGTAAAATATTATACAAAAAAGAAAATAATAAAATGCCGAGTTGAAAAGTCACGTCACAGTTTTGTTGCTTGCCCTCATGCTGGCTAAACATCAAGTGGGACCATGCGTAGTTTGAATTATGAAATGGAGGTCGGCATTTACATACGTTTCACAGTACATTCCATTACCCTTAGGCATTTAAAGTGCTCACTGTGTAAACCAGATTTAAGATACCAACTGAAAAATGCATGAAGATAATCCAGATGTACACAAAAGTCCCCTGGGATTCCAACCAAACACATGAAGAGCTTTCAAAGGAATTGTGTCCATGTCTGTAGGTTCATCCAACAAGAGTCAGTGATGACTTCTTTACAGCAGGGGTCTCCAAACTCGGTTCTGGAGGGCCGGTGTGCTGCAGAGTTTAGCTCCAACCCTGATCAAACACACCTGAACTAGTTAATCGAGGTCTTACTAGGTATACGAGAAACTTCCAGGCAGGTGTGTTGAGGCAAGTTGGAGCTAAACTCTGCAGGACACCGGCCCTCCAGGAACGAGTTTGGAGACCCCTGCTTTACAGTGTCATATTCTTTACATACAGTTTACAAATATTTACAATAAAATGTGCATGATATGTGTTCAAAAAATGATTTTATACACAGAACTGGTGGGCATTGGGATTGCGGAGGCAAGCCAACCGAAAGGATTGCAGGTAGCTGACACTCTACAGAGAGCGCAGACTTCCCATGCATGTAAAATGCAAGACGCTCTGCAGTTTTCCTCTCATGCAGCTTGCAGAGTGTGATGGTATCAGCAGTGTGACTCATACGCAGGGGGGCTTTATAGAGATTGGACACGTAGATTCAGGTATAATGGATTCGAATACAGTCACGATAGATGGATGAGGCGTTGTTCTGAATTTAGCAAATTACAAAGCCATAAATCAGCAAAACTCTGCAGAGTGATAAAAGAGGGGATTATTATCATGATATGACTGCATAAACCATGCAGAGCAGAACTGCTGTCACCAGTAGGGAGGTGGTAAATTATAGCACCATTTTAAGGGGATGAATGTGTTGGTGTGGCATCCAGGGAACTAATATTAAAATATTAATCATATATACATCAATCAGAGGCAACAGGCTGAGTCATAATATTAACTGACAGCAAACCGGAAACTATATAGGCCTATGACTGACGATATTGTTTTCTGTTCTATTTCAATGCTTGTCACAGTATATCATTATAGCTACTGTATACAGGGGGTGGGATATAATACACTTCTACTTATTTATAATGCTATTTTTCTACCTGCCCCAAAATAAAATGTATGGTTTTCCTCGTGTGAAATGTTATCATTCATATCTGAGTGTTTAATATACTTATTTTTAATAAGTCGCTTTTTACCACAGGATTATAATGTCACCAAAATTGCTTAATTTACAAGTCTAACAAAATAAACCATATGAATTCTGTCTTATTTATATTAGTTTTCTGAAATGTTGATGTGTAAAGCTTTCTTTTTATACTCATTTCTGGTGTACCCTGTTCAATAGCAAACCAGCACAACATGGATAAACAATGTTGTCAGATCTGTAATGCACAACCTGAAAACATATTAAACGGGCTCTTTCTCACATCAGTGTACAAAAGCAATCAGCTGGTTAAATAAAAATATAATGCTATACAATCAAGGCCCTTTGAAGCTTTCTTTTGTCAAAGGCTGATTTGCAGTGTGATTGCATTCTCTTACGGAAACTGAAACAGGTTGGTGGCGTTCTTATAAGGGTCACTGAGAACACATAAACTGAATTGTTTCAACCCAAAAACTCCTGTAATGTCTGGTACAGTGATGTAAATAAAAACGGCTAATTCTGGGATACATTTGAAATGTTTGAACATTAAATATTTGGTTTCTTTATCCTAAAACTCTTATAACTTCAGGTGGCCATATTATATATACTCTTCAATGTTCACATTAGTCTCTGTAAATAGGGTAGAAGACTTGCTTCCTCGATTTAGTTTTGCTGCCAAAATGCACCTCCTGCAAATGCATTCATTTTCTGATTGACTACATTTGTTATTGTCTCAGTTATACAGTTATAAAATATGAGCAGTTAATCTTGAGAAACATAAAAAAAGAAGATGGAGATTCTGGCTCACTCTAAATTACTAGGGAGGCCAGAAGTGTCTCAATTTTGAGCAGCTGAATTCCAGAGATGATGATTATAATGAGTGCTTGCTGCTTTACATAAGCATGTATACATCTGCATGAAATATGAAGTGTCTATATGCTTTCAGATTTTTGATCTGCCTTGATGTCACTGCAGGTAATAATTTTACAAAGCATTATGTTTCTCTGGTATTTTGCTAATGTTTAACAAAATCATTGTCCTAAATATCGGTTAGTATTTTTTAAGATACGAGGGCATGCAAAATTAATCATCAAAATTTTATGAGGACAACAAATATAAGTGGATTCTACACAACCTGTAGTAAAGTATTAAAGGGTGGTTTGACTATATTGTTATATAATCTCATACTGATGCTACTTGCTCAACTCAATTTGAATAAATATACAAAACAAACGTTTAGTTGTCATTATGCAAAGTCTTATGTCTGGATACCATCTCAAGGCCGATATAAAGCCTGACTGCTTTAGCTATGCAGGAGCAACCATTGAATACAAATATTTGCATCATGAACTCAAAAAGGGCTGTTTAGCAAACGATTGCTGTCTGAATTTTTCTCAGATGTGAGAGATGGTGGCGATGCTCTGTAATAGAAACAGACAAGGCAATATGAACAGGCCAGTGCTTGTTAAGGCCAAATACTGTGGTGAAGGATGAAATTTGAGACATCAGTGTAAAATCCTTGTTATCGGAAATAAGCATGAAATGTCAAATAACACCATCTCCATTAATTTTTTCCCCCTCAGTTCCTTTCCTTTGTTATTTTATCACTCTATCTCTCCGCTTTATCTCACCATGTCTCTAACAAGCGCTCTACATGACGCTGCATTTCCCCTTCAGCTTGTCAGCCCGGCTTTGCTTCCCAGAATGCTTGCCATCGATGTTCAAACTCATGTTCCTCTTCTTCTCCAAGTTGAGAAGCTCCTGGAAAAGCTCAGTGACATTGTGGTTAGTCTTAGCCGAGGTCTCCATGAAAGCACACTTCCAGATCTTGGACTGGGCCTCTCCATCCTCGGTCTTCACTTCCCGTTGAGTCTCATCACTCTTGTTTCCCACGAGCATGATGGGGATGTTCTCTACGTTGCCTTTGATAGCAAGAATCTGCTGGTATATGGGCTTTAATTCTTCCAGGGATTGCTTACTAGTGATGGAGTAGACCAGGATGAATGCGTGACCCTTGGAGATGGACAGACGCTGCATGGCAGGAAACTGGTGGCTGCCGGTTGTGTCTGTGATCTGCAGGGTGCAGACGCTCTTGTCACAGCTGATCACCTGCCGGTACGTGTCCTCCACTGTCGGGATGTAGGTGTCCCGGAAAGTGCCTTTCACAAAACGGAGCACCAGGGAGCTCTTCCCCACACCCCCTGCTCCAAACACCACCACACGGTAGTCGTTGCTCTGCTCGGGCATCTTGGGCCTTCAGCTGCGCCACTCGCTTTCTAGACCTAACAGAGGGAAAAGAAACATTTAGATGATTATGTATTGTACAGGGGCTTTCGAACATTTTGATTCCAAGTACCATCAAATATACCCCTCAAATAATTTTGGTGTAGAATCAGTTTTTACTCACAAACAGTTAAATTAATAGCAAGTAACAAGTTATTTGAATAGAACTTGAAATATTGAAGTAGAAAAACTGAAATGTAAAATACTCTCCAAGCGTCACTCCCAAATAAATGTGTTTTTTAAAGTGTATATGGACCCTCTTCCTAAAGACTATATATTTTAATGTACCCATTTATTTTAAGATGAATTCATTTGATTCGTATTAATACAAAATGTGAAGAGTTCAGATGAAAAAGCCTCTAAGCGCCTTTTGAAATTTTCTTCTAAAATGAGCATTTTTCTCAGGCTCCTATGTGTAGGTTCAGTAATTTCACTTTAATGTCAATGAATAGGTTCTTGATTGACAGGAATGATTGACAAGCAAAAAAAATTTAATCAATCACCAAACATGCTGATGAATGCTTGGTTCTATTTCTCACAACAAGTAGCCATGTCCACAATGAAACCTCACTCCTCAAAAAAAATGAAAAAGAATAATAATTGTAAATGAAACATCACATTTATTCTGACTGGCTGTGATTGTGGCATGTCACACAATGTGTTCAGTGTATACAAAAAAATTGCTAGTGACCGGAAACACTTCATCACATATCCTATTTAAATCCATTATGCTTTAAACATTTAACATGATCATAATTTATTTACTGGATATTTATCTAATTCAAAATTACAGGTATGATTCACACACACATTTAGAGATGTTTTGCTCAGACAGGACTCAAGTGGCTTTTCTGAAGAAAGAGACATGAGCCTTGTCATCCATCATGCTATTATGAAATCACATTGCAACTCATCATAATGTATCTGTGCTTTGCCCTCAGACACTCTCTTGCTTTCGCTGCAGTTTATAGCAGTGCATTATTTATTGCCTCAGAGCAAAAACAATAATTCTAAACAGTTAAACAGTTTTCTGCTCCTGAGCACACTAGCATTCAGATTGAAGCACTATGTATCAGTCTGAAAGTAAAAGAGGTTTTAGATTTTTTAAAATAAGCTTTTATATGTGCAATTTAATGTTCTCATGAATAATTTAGCAAAGACACAGACCATATCCATCAGTGTCCACAAACCACAAACATAGAACACACATTGAATTGTGTATAGATTATGCAGAAGCAAACAAGAACACAATTTCCAGGCTTTACACCGATTTCAACTTCAGTAATCAATACCTCAATTTCACACCAGCAGACGAGGGATGCTGAAAGATACCTTCAATGAAACTACCACAGTTCTATCAAAGTTTCTGCTGAACTTGCATCACATATACTATTCATATGATGGCAGACATGACAGACATTATTTGTCTCAGAAACCTTGAGCTGATTATAATACAGCTTGATTCAAAGTGTGATTATTTATTTCATTAGTACTGTTAATTTTGGCATTTGTTCAATGATTTACTGAATACTGTGTATTCTCTATGCTAGTCTTTTTAAAGTGATGTATGTGCACACGTATAAAAATAAAGGCTCTTTTATTGGCATCTAATATTTCACCCAACAAATTGAACATTTTGAGCACTTGCTCACCTATGGATCCTCTGCAGTGAATGGGTGCCGTCAAAATGAGAGTCCAAACAACTGATAAAAACAATAATCCACAAGTAATCCACATGACTCCATTCCATCAGTATACATCTTGTGAAGTTGGAAGCTGAGTGTTTGTAATAAACAAATCCATAATTAAGTCATTTTATCTTTAAACAGTTGCTTATGGTCAAAATACAAGTCCACAATCCACAATAATGCTTCCCCCAGTGAAAACGTCCATCCCCTGTTGTCCTCTCACATCAAAATCCCCCAACATATTTATTTAAAACTATTCTGGATTGCTTTTACTAAACAGTACTTGATGTGTGCATATTTCTCTCCTGATTCAGACAAAACGGCTTTGTCATTGCAGAAAGAAATATTAGATAGAGGACTCATATTTTACTACAAGCACACAACTTTGTACTTCACAAGATGTTAATTGTTGGACTGGAATCGTGTAGTACTTGTGGATTATTGCGATGCTTTTATCAGCTGTTTGTATTCTCATTCTGATGGCACCCATTCACTGCAGAGGATCCAATGGTGAGCAAGTGATGTATTTCTAAATTTCTCAAAGTCTGTTTCAATGAAAAAACAAACTCATTTACATCTTGGATGGCCTAAAGTGTATATCAATTTTCAGCAAATTTTCATTTTTGGGCGAACTATTCCGTTAACATCTATGGAACCTTTCCATTGCACAAACCCTTTTGGAACCTTCATTGTCTGAGTGTAGTACCATAATAAAACATGCATTGCATCATTTGTACTACAGTTTTAATGATTGTACAAACAACTACACAGTGAATCTATATCTTGTGTATGGGTGATCTAAAGGAATGTTCATATGGTAATTCATGAGTTATTTGAACATTCTGCAAGTGCAAGGTTTCGTAAACGATATTAATGCAAAATACAGTGTTTTGAAAGGTGGACAGCCTGTTGCAAGTGATTACTTTTTTCCGTCAAAAAAGTTTTGTGTCAGAAAAAGGACATCAAGGTTCTGAAAATAAAAAAAACTATGTGAAACCACTGTCTCTCAAAACTGGCTTGCTTCATATTTTCATCCAGCATTATGACACCAGGCTACTTGCACTCAGGGCTTAAAGTGCAGCGACATGCTTGGCAGGGTGCAGCAATCCCAACAGCAGTCAAGCTCTCATCTGAGAGAAGCCCTGGTGCCTCTCCGCCTCTCTCTCTCACTCTGCGCGCTGTCAAATCAATGAGCAGAGGACACTGAGCCTTTGATCAATGTTAGTGTCTGCGGATTTCAGGCCTCTGACAGGCTGCCGGTGCTCCCCTCTCGCCCCTCTTAAGGTGTCACACTTGTTTCTGCACTGTGATTGATGTCAATCTCCCTTGGAGTGCTGTGTTATCTATTCTATAGGTCCAGAGAGCCGCTGAGCTTATTAATGCTGTTACAGCGTCTCGCTACTCCAGCCAAACTCTATTATAGATTAAGTTTGGCACGAGGAGAGATTATAATGCATGTCCCTCATTCAAGGTTCTCCCAAGCTCTCTCACAGCAATGTGCTGATGCTGCCAGAATTGGGAATGACCTTGCTTTTACTGAAGTGAATGTGGAATATATCACTCAGACATTAGGATTCGAAAAGAAATGTTCGCTGAATAGCACACGGGCGCCGTGCCACATGCTCTTAAACAATCACAGTAAATGGAAGTGCGGGCTCAGTATGGTGGCGGTTCTGTTTGCAAATCACACACTCCAGGACCATGCATACAGAAGTCGGAAACAACAGTATATAGACAAATGACCCTGTATTTGCTTTCTGGGCTTATTGTGAGCGAATCATTGGTGCATGTTATTCCAAACAAATTAAAAGTTCTTCATAGTTTGTTTTGAACAACTTTCCTTTTCTGCTGATATCACATAGGCCTCGCTGGATAATGTTTACTAATAGCTAAAGAATTATTTAGGAGCAATTTCAATAAATTGACATTCGGTCTGGGCAAGCAGTCAAGTTTACCAAGTTTAGAGAATGTTAAGAGTGTTTCAGAAAGCGGGCCAAAGTGAATGAGAAAACTGTAAAAGAAATTCATACTGTAGATAGATAGATTTCAGTTTTTCTACTTGAAAAATTTCATTTTTAATTCACTGTTCTACTTGCCGATTCTTCATAATTGTGAAAATTACTAGCAATTTCTGAGTAAAAATTTTGTTTCCACACTATTTTTTGTTCACTATTGTTATCTGTTTTTGAAGCGTGCGAACAGCCCTTTAAAGTGAATCACTGCATTAGATTCCAGAGGACACCCATCAGGCCGAGTCCATTAGCATGAGTTTGCTCTAATCTGAGTGAGAAGCTTTGCAGCATAATATACTGTCTAAAGAGCTGCTTTCTCCTTATCAGTCAAACCAGGCTTTCACTCTGCCATAAATGGCAGTTCCATTGTCATATCCCCATGGATACCAATATTCTATTGAAGGAAAAAAGTATTTTCGGTTCAGAAATTACTCTTATTCTGTGGGAATCAGATATGCCTCGCTTTACTGCATACTAAAGACATTGACAGGATATAGAGAGGCATGCGCACATTAGTGTTCACACTGTATCTGAGACCAATGTCAGTGTTCTGGGAAATCAAACTTGGGTATAAGTGTTAGTTACTGCATGTGCAGACTGAAAGAGAAAGGGAGAGTGGGACGAATAGGAAGAGGGAGGGGTACGGAAATGGAAAAATAGCCTTGGTGCCATTATGTGCATGACTTAGTATTATATCATTATCTATTTCTTGTGGTGCAAATAAAAGCTAAGCAGAAGGGGTTTTTGTAACTGTGATCAAAATTGATATTTCTAAACAATAACTTAGTCAAACAACAAGGGGAAAAACAGATCGATGAGTATGTCTATAAGTGTTTCTTTTGGTTGCTGTTCAGATAAAATATCCAGATGCACTGCAATAATGAAGAAATTTAATTGAGAAGAGATTTACTTTAGAACTGAATACAAAGAATTTAAAAGGATAGTTCACCCAGAAATGAAATTCTGCCATCATTTATTCATTCTCTTGTCCTTGACTTTTCTTCTATGAATTCTGAATTAAGATTTACAGTTCTGTTTGTTTGTTTGTTTTTTGCATTTAAAAAAAATTTAAAAGGTAATTGTGATCATGCAATTCTGAAAAGATAAGTCTAAACTGTTAGATATAACCTCAAGGGGAAAAAGTCAGAATTGTGAAATAAAACGCTGCAATTACTTTTTTTGTTTTTTTATTCTGTGGTGGGGGAAAAAACAGTATTGCAAGATGTAGAAATTATTAATTTTTTTAAAGCCAGATATAAAGTCACAATGACCTTTTTTATTCTTTCATTCTGTGGTGAAAACACCACAGAATGGTGGTCTTCCATACAAATTTGTATGACTTTCTCTTTCTTTAAAATATCTTCCCTTGTGTTTCACAGAAAAAAAAGAAAGTCATACAGGTTTGGAATGACACAAGAGTGTATAAATAATGACAACATTCAAATTTTTAGGTGATTTAACTCTTTAAATCTTTCATTTAAATGCAAAATGTCCAACACTCTACAAAGTTATTTTTGTCAAGAAATCACTGCTGGGTCTTTATGCCACAGACGTGTGCTTGTGTATCATACAGTGTTTACAGTATAGCAGCTAAAAAATTGGACTCATAAGGGGAGCAGGGCTATACAGCCTATAAATACCCCATATACCATCTGCCATCTCTCTGCGCCAAATATTGCTGGATTAGCCCAGACTCACTCATTCAGCTGTGCAGGGCCATGAGAAAATTCTGTCTAGATCAAAAACAGAGTTGTAAATAAATACTGGCCTGACTAAATCTAACACATTTGCCTTCATATAGTCAGTTGGGCCTAATCAGATTCTATTAATTAATTATGAGAATTTTTAAATACATTTCCAAATATGTCAAAAATCATAATTAATGCATATACTGAAAGCAAAATTAACCTTATAGAGCATATTTAAAAAACACTTGACATGCTACACTCTTAAAAATAAAGGTGCTTCACGATGCCAAAGAAGAACCTTTTTGTCTAAATGTTTCCATAAAGAACCTTTAACATCTGAAGAACCTTTCTGTTTCACAAAAGGTTCTTTGGGGCGAAAGAAGGTTCTTCAGATTATAAAAAGGTAAGAAAGAGATGGTTCTTTAAAGAAACTTTGACTGAATGGTTCTTTGTGGAACCAAAAATGGTTCTTCTATGGCATCACTTGAAGAATCTTTTGAAGCACCTTTATGTAGATTTCAAAGGAATAGTACCTAAAAAAATTAATTCTGTCGTCTGTCAACTGTTTTTGTTTATACAATTCAATAGTCAAGTCAATAAAGTTTAAAATAACACTGGAACCGACATTCATTGTACAGACAAAAAAAAAAACCCTTTTTGTCTAAATGTTTCCATAAAGAACCTTTAACATCTGAAGAACCTTTCTGTTTCACAAAAGGTTCTTTGGGGCGAAAGAAGGTTCTTCAGATTATAAAAAGGTAAGAAAGAGATGGTTCTTTAAAGAAACTTTGACTGAATGGTTCTTTGTGGAACCAAAAATGGTTCTTCTATGGCATCACTTGAAGAATCTTTTGAAGCACCTTTATGTAGATTTCAAAGGAATAGTACCTAAAAAAATTAATTCTGTCGTCTGTCAACTGTTTTTGTTTATACAATTCAATAGTCAAGTCAATAAAGTTTAAAATAACACTGGAACCGACATTCATTGTACAGACAAAAAAAAAAACTTTAAAATATATTTTTTTGTATTACACAGGAGAAAGAAAGTCATACAAGAATGACATAAGAATTTTCCATTTTTGGGTGAACAATGCCTTTAAATACATCCCTACCATAATAATAATAAAGGATTTTAATATGCATAAAACAGTATGAAGCACAAGACAGAAAGTAATCATTTAAATCATTTAAAAGTAACAACAAGCAACTATCAATAAAGTCAAATACATGTTAACAATATACCTGACACCATAATGGTACTCTCCAGCCTCATGAACTCAGAACAAATGACTATACATGACAGCTTCAGCTGACTGGCTAATTGCTCTGTTGCGTTTTACCTTACCATAAGTGTTCTGCAGTTTTACTGTGTCCCTGCCAGCATTGCAAGAAACATCTCTCTTGCTCTTGTCGATCAGTCCGTCAAACAGATTGCTCCTCTGTGGACTAGGCTTAGAGGCTAATCATTGTGCTTTACCTCGTCTGTCTGCTGCATGTGCTTCCAGTGACCCAATTCAAAGGATTTAAAATTCCCAGCATGCATCCATGCCACAAAGCAAAGCTCCTGTGATACGAGGCCGGAGCTCAGGGACAGAGTGCATGAAGGTCTGATATATTAGCTTAGAGATCATGTCAGATCTTTGAACTAGATAAAGGCCACTGTAAACTGCAGTTTATCCTGAGATGATAAAGTTTAGGTTTTTTTGAGAGGCTTTGTGCTTGATCCCTTATACTGGCCTACACACTGGCAGACAACCTGCATCTTAAAACCTTAATACTGAGATTTACATTTAAACATTATGCTCAGCCATTACAATGCCTTAGGGTGTAAGGAGCTAAATCAAATGCATGGATTGTCCTCCACAAATAAACTTGATTAATTTACTATCATTAGCAAATGACTGGAGGTTTGCTGCCCGAGAACTTGAACATGCATGTGGCCGTTGGTTAGTCCGGTTGCTTAGTACCTTTTCTCCATTAGCTGCTACACCTCGAATTAATTGTAACATTGCAGCTCTCTAGGCAGGAATTTTCTCGGCTTAACTGTTGAGGTTAAGTGGGTGGTAAATGTCTATGAGTTTATATACTTAATCAGTTAATCTCAAATAAGCATGCTTATTAAATTCATCATGAGCATTTCATAAATTTCAAGGATAATTGCAGTCTTTATGAGAGTGAAACAGTCACATGGTTTGATCTCTCCCCTTTGAGCTACATCCGTCTTCCAGGTAAACTTTTAATATATTTAAAGAACAAATTAGTTAACACAGATTTAGACAGATTTCTTAACATGGGGTGTAAATCAGACGATATGAATATGATCTAACATTGATACTTTTAGCAAGTGATATTTGCCGATACCTCAAAACATGCTGTGATACATTTGCGTTTTGATTATATTCAGGGGTCTGCGATTGATATAATTAATATTATGTGACTTTTTTATACTACCAGTTACATAACTCACAAATATACCTAAAATATAACATGAATATTTAATTGAACTCCCGTGAAATTGCAAATCATATAACCCAACTGGGACATTCACACGAAAAATATACTTACGTTTTTTAATTAATATAAAAATATAATGATATCATTAATCATCTGATGACAGCTCATTATTGGCTTGTGCAATGAGAAAAGCAATAACAAAAGTCAAGAAACTCTTTCAGTCTCTAAAATGTGCAAATCTAGTATCCACTCCAGTTGTTGAAAAAAACATGTATATATACATGTAGTATATACGTAAAAACACATTTCAAGAATAAAGTGAAAACTTGTCAAATATTTGATGACAGCTCAGTAAAATGCATTTGTGTGCAGATGTGGCTAACATGAGAGTGTCAAATTGGTACATCTTAAAAATATATATAGTTTTTTTTTAAGCGTTGCATTTGATTGATCCATCAATCCATATTTATGTATTGTTTCTCCCCTAATTTCTAGTCTATATTACGGTTTGCTCTGAAAACAACCATTCATTTCCTTCCTAAATCACACAGGAGGTTGTGGCAACTAAGTAACATTAGTTTACTTGGTTATACATTATGCATCTGTCAAGGAGTGCACACAGAAGCAAAGCCTCGTAGTAGTGGACTAAAAGAAGAAAACATCTTGTCAAACTGCAATCCAGGCCCAGGCTGTGCTCTTAAGTGGCCTGCTCACTATAAGCTCTTGCAGGGCTGTCTCAGCCGGAGCTCAGAGTTTTTACGAGCAGCAGAGACCAATCTGTCACAATAGATTTCTAAGAGAGAAGAACAGGCCTAATATATAGTAGACCCACCAGGTTAACACCTGACCCCCTCAATACAGTGATACACTCTTAAAGGTGCACTCAGTACCCTATACCCTTATAGTGCTATTTGAGGGGACATAAAGTGCACTCATTTAATCCCACATTGCAACTCAAAGGTGGAACCAACGTACACTCAACACTACACTAAAGCTGGGGTTCTCAGCTCTGGTCCTTGAGGTCAATTTTTCTTGCTCCAACTCTAATCAAACACACTTGAACAAGCTAATGAAGGTCTTCAGGATTATTAGAAAGTTACAAGCATTATGTTTGATCAAGGTGAGCTAAACTCTGGAAGTGGACATCGAGGGCAAGAGTTGAGAACCCCTGTGCTAAAGAATACCCAACCACTGTGAAAGCGCTGCTGAATGAATTCTTGCATCTTGTGAGAAGATGGTGACCCTTGCACCTCTGGTGCACTCAGTGTCCTAATTTACTTGTTGTCATTGACTCATTAAGAAGACTATATTAGTGGAGTAATGTAGGGAATAGTGAATGAGGGGGAGATTTCGGATACATCAGGGGTCCTCAACTCTGGACCTCAAGATCCACTTTCCTGCAGAGTTTAGTTCCAAACCCAATCAAACACACCTGAACAATCTAATCAAGGTCTTCAGGATTACTACAAACAGACTAGATTGACTTACTATTGGGAGATGAGAGGGTGTGTATTACTTAATATTGTAGAAAGTGTAATTGTCAACTTGGATCACATGTGCCTTAATAACCAATCACATTACAGCCTTGACATCACTAAATTTCAGTCAGAGTTGTGCAACACTTAATCGCCGTTTACAGATATCATAGGAATGAATGAGAAGTGCTGTAAGATGAATCCCACCTGTTGCAAAAAGTCAGTGACTTCTCTTATAAAACGGCAATTTATGGTGTAAACTCTAAAAATAGTTCAATCCAAAAGTATAATTTAGTGTAAAACATGTTGAAGATTAGCCGATAGCCTGTTGAATCATTAAATGATTAGCTGTTTCCTCTAAAAAGCTGTTTATTCAGAGTAGTGGAGCCTCTTCTCCATTGACATCCATTAAAAAAGAAAAAGAAAAGGGCCTCTGGTCGCCTTTCCCACATACTGCCAAAGCAGAAGCAGTAGCATTAGTCGTTACGCTTTTTTTGGCTAAAGGTTGCAGGCTTGCCTTCTAGTGGCTTTTATACAAAGTTGCAGGTATGTCTAATCCAGGTTGGAGCTAATCTCTACAGGAAAGTGGATCTCGAGGTCCAGAGTTGAGGAACCCCGGGATACATCCAAAATTTTTGTTAATCTCTTATTTGTCCCAATAGTTACAACAGTTTTGGGCTTCATAGTGAGATCTACTGGCAAGGATGCATTAAGTTTGTGATTCGCTGATGCTTTGCAACAAGTATTTTGGTCCTTTCCTTTATTTGTGTTTATGGTCTCATACCACCCACATCCATTCTCTGACAAGGAAAAAATAATAGGCCATCAGTTAACAACCTTTGAGATCACAGCAAGTCTGTCTTTAAAAGTGTATAAGATATTGTTAAAATCAGTTTCCCTTAATCAATTTTGCAACCATAACCCAACTGTTGCACTCTATTGCATGATAGGCCAGGTCATGTGAAGTCAACATGGAAGCATCCATGAGGGGCGACCCGCTCCATTAAAAAGTTTTTTTCTAGGCCTACAACTTAAGTTGTCCTCTCACGTAACATTTATAACTCAAATTTAATGTACAGCTTATTTATCTGCAAAACTTTTTAATTAGCAAATAATGACTGAGTTCACCTTTAAATTCCATTATAGGCCAGATGAGGTGAGGATGCCTAAAAGGTTTTAAACATTACTACTATTACTACTTCTGTTACTAATAAAAGCATAGGCTACTGGAAAAGTGCTTCGCCCTTTTCTCATTCAGCTCGTTCCAGCATTCTATTATTGCCTCTGGTGCAATACTAAAAACTGATGCACGTCTGTGAATTAGTCTCCATATAAATTGCTGCATTAGATTCCATTATGAGCGCAGCCTGCTGCATCATCTTCCGCAACAAGACTACCATGAGGGTCATGCATTGGCTCAATACGATGATATATTATTATACTAATGCACCCAAGAGGACGTCAGCAGCGCGCGGATCCTCTTCTCAATGTTCACGTTGCACAACCAAATAAGACTCTTTAGCCCACTGTTGCTATACGTTCAGCCGTTTAGTCATCCAAAAAAGGCATTTTTAATGATGCAAAGTTACATGCATTTAGCCTACATATATTTCCAATTAAATGGATGACTGATCCTGCTGGTTTACTGTTTGTCGCACACACTCGTACATTTACCAAACATTGAAAATGTATATGCTATGTAAAAGCCCTAGCGCGTGTAAATGGAAATCCCCACGGTCTCTAAGACTGCAGGCAGTTTGCACCAGTGTATCTTATACGTTTTATATCATCATGGGGCCGGTTGTTGGACACACACAGGAGTGAACTATGAGTTCAGCATCACCATATCATACGCAGCCCGTTTCATTCATAAAGAAGCGACTCTCCATAGCACGGGTGGTGCGGCGATTCACATGTCTATATGTAGCTACATAAAGCTAGCTTTTATTTAGAATCGTGTTCAATATTTTTTTCGTTTTTGTTACTATGTGTACTATGTGCCATCATGACAGTTATGGTCAGTGCAGCTAACGATTTCCACACAAAACAGAAAATGCTGCAAGTATTCAGTAGTCAAAGTCTAACTGAAATATGTGTAACGCTTGTCCGGGTTGCTTATGCTGTGCTCTATACAAAAAAAAAAGAAGAAAAAAAAGACACAATATACCAAAGGCACTACATGAATGAATTGATTTCATAAATCGGCGCGCGATTCGACTCACCTACCTGAACTTAACGTATCCCGCGTGACTGATCTTTGACTGACAGGACAGATGAATGACAGCCTGCGCTAATAAGGTACTAAAGCATTTTAGACTAATAATGAAAGCGTGATAGAGTCCAATCTTAACGGCAGTCCTCTCTCTCCCTCTCTCTGTATCTCACTCACTCACACACACACACACACACTCTCACACACACACACACACACACACACACACACACACACACACACACACACACACACACACCCTCCTCCTCAGAATCTCCACTTGCTTCAGATAGAAGGTGGGAGATTTTTAACG